TACATTTTCTAGTTAAACGATTCTCTAGGCAACATTTCTCTTGTGAAAGAACTATTATTCGAAAAATTTGTGTCTCACTTCCATAGTTCCGGAAACATTTGTGGTGACAATTTTTATCAATCTACATGACATAATCGATATGATATTAATATCCTTGGGATAATAAACCTTGGACAATAATCCTTAGAAGAAGAAACTGGGTCACAAGAAACAGTAGAACTTAAAGCTTTGACTACACCAATGATATTACGAATACATTTTCTTCTATTCCTCTTCCTATAGAACATTATTTACACAGAAAGATAATGAACTTTCAATACTAGTTTCCCAATAAAGTTACACCAGATTTTAGCGTGGATCAGGAATGATGGTTATGCTTTTCCAGGAACAAACCCTAGATTGCGAAAAATGTGTAGCAGACTGTATAGCACCCTTAAGATGCATATATCGAAGCTTTCTTTCTGCCTGATTAAAGATCTCCATTTCTATGATACAGCTAGCCGACATACCTTCTAGGGAACTCTTCCAGACTAATCTGGAACGAGTCCAAGATTTAGAAAGTACGACGGGTCCAACTTCGGGTTTTTTTAACCCTCCTGCGAGCCGCCACCAGCTCTCGTCGAGTACTTATACATGTACTCTCTCGCGCGATTGTTATCGCGATTATTACTCGCGTGTCACGTAAAGATTACAGCCACCTACGCCGGCTGACTTAATGGAATTAGGATTAGATTCCTCGTCGACGTAGCACCCGCTTGTTCACTCGCGTGACACGGAATAGCGATACCTGTTTAAGATTATACGAAACTGGTTCCGTTAATCGCGTTATTGTTCGGGCAATAACGAAGTGGACGAGATTCTGAACTGAACGTAAAGCCTGAGGGAGAAGAGAACTCTCGTTATAGGATCGTTAAATGATTCCAGTAATCAGGATCCGAAACTGATTAAAGATTCTACGATTCGTGTCACTGGGAAGTACTTGGATGATTGAAAACATTTTTTATTGATCTTACGATTGGATAAAATAACCTCTTGAAGTACGTGACTTTTTTTAGAATATTTTATCGTTGGAGAATTTTTGCGGATGAAGCACGTATATATCTACACGTGTATTATTTTTATTTGATATCGCTTGGCACTACGTTGAATTGATAATAAACCGTGCAAGAAAAACTGTATTTATAGATAGGAGAAAATGTAAATAAAAAATGATTAATGATCGTTACGGCAATTTTGAGTTAGACTTTGCTTGCAATAGCCGCAAGATCAAGTGATAAATCTAACTATGAGGGTACCCATATGATGCTTCCCATGTAACAATTGAATTTCGAAGGAATAGTGTGAAACGAATAGAATTATGTACAATGTATGCATGTAATTATTAATAGTGTGTATGTATTAATAGTTGTACTGCTTATCAAGAATAATTTATTATTAATTGAAAACCTGCAATACAACGAAGGAAGCGAACCTACAATAGAAAATCGAAAAGTTCTGTTCAAAAGAAAAAGTCTGAGACGTACGTTTCCACGGATAACAATGACACGAGACTCGTGATTTATGGAATACAGCTTACACAAAGGCATATAAAATTATCCTTGTCCAAACCCCTCGCAGAAAACATCGTTTCCCATATAATTATATCCAACAATATCGCAAGCATTCTATGTACAAAAGAATCCAAACCATCCCCCGTTCAGAACCGTCCGTAGTTTCCCTCGAATTGCTTATCGATTATCTGGGCAGAATACACCCAGAGACCATCATCAAGTCCGAGTTCCTGTATTTCAGCGGGTGGAAACAATACTCCTAAATAAAGGGTCAGTCCACAGATTACGGAAGAATGGCGGAGAGTTTACGGAAGGGGAGGCTCGCTAAATCGACTTCGAGGATATGAAAACGGCGATAATAAACAGCGGGGAGAGAGAGAGAGCGTGGGACGCGAGAGGTGAATCGAGTCGAACGAGGCGAACCAAGGGGGGAAAATATGAAAGATTGAAAAAATACCAAGAACGGACGTATATAAGCGAGACGCGAACCGAAGAGAATAGGGGGCGCGCAGGAGGAAATGGTGAAAGGTATGAAAAGAGAAAATGGCGGTAGCACGTGCCCCAAGCCGAGCAGACCGGTCGAAATCGGTTCGACGATTCCGGACAGGAAACGGGCCCGGCTTCACGGTCGATGGTCAGATCGTATCGATGAAAATTGCAATGGCCTCGCCGCGGTGAAACGTTCCAATTTCGCGAGAGAACAACGACATACGCGACTGCCCCCTCCCCTCCCCGCTCCTGCGCGCACACACACACACCTGATCCGAACGGGGGAGGAGAATCGAAACACGTTCGATTCCACGTCTGTCCCACCGGCCATTCCAGCATATCGGAATTGATACTCGCGTAATACACCAGAGGCAAAAGCTACGGCCGGTGTGAACTGTTATCGTAAACTGTCCCCGTGCATACGGTAATTATATTTCGCGCTACCGATGCGATAACGATCGGGGGGAGTTTGTTGTTGTTCTCATAATGGAACGATGACTTCTTTTGTTGTTTCCGGAAAAATTCTACATTCTGGATTGTTCGTAACGTTTCGAACACCGTGCTTTGGTTACCTTTTTACTAGATGGAGCATAAATCGTTCGATCTTGCGAATTGGTACTATTTTCCAGGTGTGGATTTAATGTATTTGCCATATAAGTTCTTTTCTTTTCTGTGAGAAACACCGACGAGAAGTATAAACAGGCAGAAAGACTTGCAAAAAAATTGCACTAGTCCGACTGCAAAATTTTATCACGCCTATACAATTAATTAGATTCTACTCTATTAGATGATTACTCCTTTAGATCGCTAAAATATACTATATCACGAAACAACTTCGAAGTTGTATATAACTAGTACACTGAAAATAATTGAAAACTCGAAAGAAATTGTACAAAAATGTAGTAAACAAGTATAACAAATGTATAAACAAATACAGCAGTCCGTGTGTTAAGATATAGGTGGCAATTGGGATTGTTCGATTACTGTTTCGTAGACAACAATCTAATGGCTTAAAAATGAGTTCACCATTCATTACTATTTTTATATTTCTTTCATTTGACTACTTTCAGAAATCGCGAGAATATTTGCAGTAAATATTGACTTAACCCTCTGATTTACTGTACCTACTTCAATAAAGACAATATACAGAAATAAAATCGGATACTACTCTTAATTTACAGAGTTCGTTTAACTTCTGGCCATAAAGTTTGTATCGGTTTTAATTCGTGGTCCCATATAACACAAGTTCACACTGCACGAGGTTTCGTTAGTAAATCCTCACTTAACTACTTCCTCAAACTACCCTGTATAACACAGTATCTCAATTCGTGTCGAATTTATGCAATACTAAAAAGAAGCTTAACCAAAGTGTAACAGTTTCGAAATGTATTTAACTGTGAGAAGTGATTCTCCGTTGGCAAGGAGCTACCATGGTCGCTTTAAAATTCCTCAGTGACCCATAGTATTCCTTTAATACCGCCATTTCGGTGCTCCTTCCTGCGGGGCCGATATTGGCTGGATGTCATGAGAACGTTTCGCCAGGCAAAATTTCGCCCGTACATAACGTATTATGCACCCAATCTCACCGCTACTAAGGTCGACTGTACTCACCCGTTGGTTTCAATATCATGTAAATGGCAGCGCAAAAGGGTTATCGTGGCCGAGCAGAACGTCGTTCTGAACGAAAACCCATCGACTACGAAGGGGTGTGTCCCCTGTAACTTGCAATTAAATCAAGGAACGTTCGATTTAAAATCGAAAACAAAATTTCAATGACGGTTGCACTGCTCCCGATGGAACTTGGCGCGATTTTTTTAAAGTTCTAGAACTGAGTACGTACTGAATCACTCCTCTGTAGTGTCAATAAAAGTCTGAAAAGTTTTCTGCTACGCGTAAAGCTTCTGTAGCTTCTGCAATTTTTCTACCGTTGACTTAATTAGACTCGAGAGTCTACCACTTTGTCGGAACTGAAGCGTGAATAATACCTACGAATAAAGTATGTCTTTACACACTTTTAATTTTATAGTCAGGGTTATTGAATGCAGTAATTTTCATTCATTGAAAATCAAGTAATTGACATTGAGTTAAGTGATATTCGTTTCAAGGTATTCTACACCTTACCTGTTTGCGTCGTAAAAACGTAATAGCTCGCATAGTGAAGGAGACATTAAAAATATTATATAGCGATAATAAAAGTGCTGAAAATTTATTACTATTGCTTTTCCAAGCTCCCTTTATGTTCGCTTATTTAAGGGATAGGAGAATATCATGATCAATAAAGGTCTTGCTGTATTCATTGAAAGTCGATTACCGAACTACTGGCGTTAACAAGGATACAATAGTGACAGTTTCCTGCGGCACTCCCGTTCTGTCCTTGATAGCGACTGTTCGAGCTTAAATCCGTATTAACACCGATTTGCACGCGATGCAAAGTTGCCAACCACGAAGAAAGGTATTGGAAATAACAAAGGCCTTTTGGATTTCCTTTTAAAAAACAGATACATATAGTGAAACGACTCTAAAATACATTTGACGTACAATTTACGTAAATATTGTGATGTAGTTTCTATAAAAGACGTTTATATTCGCAAACTATTGTTAAAATTATGCATTCATGAATGAAGACTTCAAATGATGTATTTAAGTTGCATGTAAAAAACAAACTAACATCTGATTTTTGTTTCCTTCCAATCTAGTAGACGTCCACCATTGTTCATAAAATCTATTCCTTGTTGTATCAAAATATTACATCTTACATTACAATTCACACGTATGTACAGATACACTATCTCTAACTTCTCTATGACATCTGATGAATTTACAAAATGTCCTCATAACCCAATACATAGTCCCTCTTATAACGAACTATGTATTCGTTTGTTTGTTGAGAAGTGAACCATTTTATGCAGCACAATCATAAACAGATATGTAGTTCATATGAAAGTCCAACGAAAAGTTTCATTAGTTCAACGTGAAATCGCTCTCCAGATCACTAATTTCTTCGTTTTTAAATAGATCATCCGAGTTGCTCAAATTGGATTGTATAGGTTCGGTTTGCGTATTCACAGAGGATGACGTGGCGCGATCGTAGTAACCCATGTCAGCGTTAAAGAGTATATCGCTTATCGCGTGTTGAACAGCGCATCGACTGTGCGTCGAATAATTTCTTAACTTATTGGTCACGAACATCCCGAAACTGTAACATTCGTCTTGCATAGTCACTGGAGCTACAGGCACTTCCACGGTTTCAGGTGTTACTTCGACACGGTCTCTCTCTGGCTGTCTCGAGCTCTGTTTAGGTAGGGACGTACTCATGGTATCTGCGTCATTGATATCCGGTGTATGTGAAACCTACGAATATGTACTTTCGATAAAGAAACTTAATGAATTGTTATTGAAACATTCCAATATTGGAAAACAACGAGAAGTGCTAATGAGAAAACTGCAAATATTGATTATATTCAGAAAAAGAAGTACTTCATACAACTCTTTCTAGTAATCAACTTCTGTTCTTTTTCTTCTGTTTTGGTTTATATAATTGAAATAGTTATAAATTATCAACAATTTATTTACAGACGGTTTCATTATGAATTTCATTACGTAATATTCTGTATTTTATTTACGAAAGACAGGAAACATTCAAAATGGAATTACTATTCGTTATTTTAAAGTTCGATTATTGCTGCTGAACACTAGCATCATTGCAATTCGAACAAGTGGAAGATTTTTATATCAGATCAGCAATTCTTGAATTGAGGATTAGATTCTACAGGTACGGAATATTAATTGTTTTGTGATAAAAGCTTCATTTACGTATTAGAATGATGCTGTTCAAATAGATTATTTAAAATAAATACTTGACACGACGTTTGATTGTAATTTGTATATCACAGTTGATGGAGCGTACAAAAGAAAGAATATATGTACTTACTGTAGTACTTAAAATGTTCGGCCCACTTCGATGGACACCTTTATCCATAAGAAATGATAATGGACCAAAAAGAAACCATGGAGATGTAATGTCCGTCCCTTAAAAAATTCCAATATATAAATATACAGTCCCTCCATGACCATGATTTTAAAACATAAACATTTAAAACAGTTGTTCAATGGAAACCAGGTGATCTTTTTAGCCGCGACTACTATGTCAACTTTCTACACTAAAAACAAATTACAAAACTAAAAAATGTCATATTATATTGCTCCACCATTCTTACTTAAAAATAAGGTAGTGCAACAGTCAAACATAACGCTGGCAATAAACTGGCTCTCCTAACAAGTAAACAGGTTAGCATATTATTAGAGTCAACTGCATACAAAATTAATGATTTTACGACTATAACGATATTTTTTATAATTACATAAACTAAGTTTAATTTTTTTAGTATTTTCAGTGGACATATGATAATTACACAAATGAAAATAAAAAAGTTTATATCTGTTCTACCAAGTATGTATAGTAGCAATAAGTTTCTTTTACTTAGGTAACTCGCAAACCTTCAAAACTATACATCAGTGCTCTTGTACACTTGGTGAATGTAGTAATTCTATTTTCTTAACGAAGTTGTTTATAGTATAAGATCTGCTTTTCTGCATGATCGAATGATTTTTTATACATGCAGCATTTTGTTGGTACCATTCACTAGTTGGTCAGCATCTTGTAGATTCGAAAGACTGCTGTTTATAGTACGGTTAAGGAGAGGACGATTGAAGGTGAAGAAATAAGTAAAAACGAAGACGAATTTTGAAACCTGTTCAGACGTTAGCCTACCTGCAGGTTTGCCCTGCAGGGAATTTGAACCCAAGGCTGCCGAGTCGGTTAGAGCCATTGACTGCGTTAGCGATGATGGGGGTCTATGATACGTCAATCGCCATTCAGGTATATAATAAGACGGTCAAAATATACGGTGATCCACAGTAGTTTCAGAAACATTTAGACATAATATCATGTACTTAATTCATCGTCTACGGAAGCTCCAAAGTACAAAATAAGATTTCAATTCTGGAGTTTTTCAGTATGAATATTGAGAAAACTTGAAGAAAGCTTCAGTTATTTAATATTAATCTTTGTCTATTATTAAATTACTTCATATATAAACACGATATGTTATCTTATTCTGTTGTTGCTGCACAGAATTGCCTCTTGTTAAAAAAGTCCTCTGAACCCTTATCATTAAGAAGCATAACTTCGTTAATCATATGGAAATTAATTTAAACTATATACAGTATCGCTGGAAGACAACATTAAAATACACAAAAAAGATATCATTTTCATGCAACTGATATTTCTGGTAGAACTCATTCGTTCTATACGGTAGATATTTATTCATTGATAAAGATTACGATAGCAAGGTGAACGTATTGAAGCATCGAAACTAACTTATTAACATATTTATGACAACGCGTCTAAGAGGCTATGTCTTCTAACAGATTCTCAGCTTTATTTCTCTATGATGCATTTATTATCATTGTGATCTCTTTTTAAATATGCTTTTCACGCCCCTTTTAAACCATTTCATGTCTATTACAGTACTGAATGAGTCTCAATGGATGGAAACAAATTATATACAGATCTTTTCATTATGTACATTCATTAATATTGTCCGTATAATTCCTCCATAATTATGCAACAATGCTTCCTACAAGCAAACGAATTAACTTTCCAAAAAGTCATAATATCCTAGGAATGGAACGTTTTTTCTGGTGTCAAGTACAACGTAGTGCTCGGAGAAAAAAGGTTCGAGGAATGCGCACGCATCCAGCGACGCAGTAGTGGAGTGGCGGCTGTGGGGGCTCGCATTGTGAACGTGTACGGGGATGAGTGTCCTTAAGGGGAACCAGTGCCGTCGTGAGAGCGGCCTTGCCAGGCCTTGCCGAGAGAATAACGCTCTGACAATGAGTTGCGATGGTTTAGTAACCAGAAAAACTATCCTATTTCCGTTTCCATACACCTAAACATTAATTCTGGTAAAAAAAGAAAAACAAAACTTTTGTACTGAATTCATCGACGTCAACCACACACATCATCCTATACCAGTGACTTTCAACCGGTGTGTCGTGGGAGGATCTTAGATGTGTCGCGAAATTTTTTAAAGATCATTAATTAAATTATTTTCGTAAGAAGTCCAAATCACAATAAGTGTACACATCAAAATTACAACCTCTTTAAATTGATTATACGAGTATATAATTGTTATAAGTTTAATTATAGGTTCAAGTGTGCTGTGAGATACAAAAAAAAGATTGAAAAACACTACTCTATACTCAAGCCAACAATTTGAAAAGTATAAAAAATTCCTCATCGTACTGAATAAAAACAATATTCAAAATGCAAAACATGTAAACAATCACATCGTGGCTAACAAACGACACAGTTTCCTTCTAGACGCGTGACAACTGATACCTCGTCCCGACATACCTTTTTCGTTACGAAACCGTTTCACTTTGAGCTTCTCCCGTCGAAACGAGGACAAGATGCAGTCCATTTTTTTCTTACAGTCGTTAATCGACACCGGTCGCTTGTACAGTATCGCCAGTTCCGCCGCGATTGACGACCAGGCTTCGTTCCGCTTCAACTTTTGATAATGCTCCTGGTTACGCGGATTCCATAGTGATTCCTTCGCCTTGTACAATTTGACGAGCGTCAGCGACATTTCCCGTGACCAATCCATGTTTTCACGTGGAATAAACGAATGGATGTATGAAAAAGAAAATACGGTAGAATGGTACGGGCTAGCACACGGCGTAACATTCACGAGAACTCTCCGCTCCGCTCTCCCGCACAGGCAGCCGTGTACTGGTCGCTCACCGCGCATGATCGGACCATTCGACCGTTCCCCCCGCAACATGTGCGCGTAACGTTCTCGACGGTTCGGTGCAACGTCGATCCCGGACGCCGTTCGTTAAGTCACGTGTACAACGAGCCACAAGCCCGCTTCCGTGTGTACTCCAAATGAGCCTCTACTTGCGAAGCGCGCTCGAAACCCGCAGTTTGGGTCGATAGTAACAGTTGTGCACTCTTTAATAAATTGTTATATTTCTACTCCGTGAATTGAACCTTTTTTAAGGTGAAATCGAATTGAGGGAATATACAGATCGCTTGATCGTTACACGAGCTACTATTGGTATTAAATGAATTTATAAGTTTCTGGGATAAAGAATGTAATTAAAAAGTTTGAGTTAAGGACAAATTGACCAGAACAGTGCACGAGGGTCAATGGGACAATTCCACGTGGAAGCTGGAAGCTTACTGCGATGGTTCGGTGTACGCGTTGCGCACACCAACCTACTGAACGTCCAGAACAAATTAATTGCGCGTTCTTATGCGACACGTTCGTGTTCTGGTAATACGATTGTGGAAATTGTTACGTTGTAAAGTGACCAGTGAGTTGGATTCTCCTTGTACAAACCTCGATGGCGTGTTATTATTTAATGTTCCGATGACGAACATGGGTCACTTGAAAATTAGATTTTAAGCCTGTGCTAACACGCAAAATAAAACTTCTGACGAAATGATTACACCATATTTCGATATGGGTCAGAAATTAATTTTTTTTTGACAAGAAGAAAAATTACTGAAAACTTTTTTCATCACTGCTCCATTGTTTCTATAGATAATTCTGGGTAAATGTTACACTATAAAACATTATGATAATAATAAGATCACGAATTTGCTAACTAGGCTATTGCCCTGGGCTTGGAAGCGGAAGATCGTGGGTTCGAATTCCGCAGATTGAGTTCTTTTTTCAGCAGCTCTGTACACAACACAATCAGGACTAACACCGATAAACATACGAGAATGTCAACGAGATAACTAAATACAGCAGGTCAACCAGTATGTCATAATCCATAACATATTCGCAGGTCGTACGCAACCTGTTTCCACGATTACAGGAAACTGTATTCCCAATAAAATCAATTTGCGATCCTATTTACATAATAATTGCTCTAAGGAAACGTTTACTGATTAAAATAATAACCTTCCTAATTAACAACCACAATACATAATACCCTTTGATCCACATAATTTCTTTAAATAACACAAGAGTTATGAAAATTTCAATACAAGAAAACTTAAATAATTAAAAGACAATATGTTTGTTTAAGTTTGATCTAGAATGTTGAATAATGTGTTGCAAAACTGTCAGCAAATTAAAAATTCATAGTTCTTTAAAAGTCTTATTCCGAATTTCTGTGATATATAAAAATAGTATATAATTGTAAATCCATAAAGATTCTATGGAACTATAAATCAAACGACACTTGTATAGAGATGTGATTACTTGGTACTGATTGTATGTTCGCAAACCTAAGGACGAACTGCTCACGAATGTTGTGTACATGTAGCTTGATGGCATATGCAGCTGAACAAGATGGTAAACTTTCAACACAGTAGTGATACGCACACAGGGGACCACGGAAGTATAAATACGACGATAATATCGAAACGAGCTCGATGTCTCCGAGTTGTGCAATTGAACTGTTAGCCGAATATGATGAAAAATTTGTTCTTTTGAAGCATTTAGTTGACAACTATAGTAAATTTTACTTGTCTTAAATACACTATACTCTAAAATCATAAGTGTTTGCCTTTTTAATTCAGATGATAAAATATTACGCCTTATTTATCTAATTTATAGATTTATTAACCCCTTTAAAAATTAATAAACAATTGGGTGTTCAAGAATTGGGGTCTGAAGAAATTCTGATCCTATTGGCTAAAATATAATCTCTATCCTATAGTTTACTTATTACCGCATCTCTACAAAAAAACAATTACATAACTATTTTTATCAATATTTCTTTCGAGAAATTAGATTTATCATTACATCATGATATTATGCGCTCCGGTATTGTAAAGATTTAATACTTTACAAGTTCATGATTAATGTTATCCTTATCACTTCAATTTATCTACTAAAGAATCATATTTAACACATGATACATAGTCGGTATATAATCTCCAAATAGAACCGAAAATTAATTTCGAACTTTATAGAAAAGTTTTATCCTCACGTATACGTTACACCTGCAGTTACTTAACTGCATATGTATACATTCGTTTAATGTAATGAGTTGTTTGAACAAAAAAGTCAGAAAGGCAACTGACATTATTAAATTAGTTTATGAAATTTACATGTGCCTAAGGATTCTAAAGCAAACAGCAAGTGGTGGCTTATGTTCTTGCGGTATCGATATTGCATATTCGAGATGTAAAACCATCGTTGCAATATGCACTCCGCAGGTAGGCTGGATGTTGTTCTCGGAACTTGCAATTTTCGAAGGCTCGAATAAGCGTATCAGGAAAACGAGACACTTCATTGCGGCGTCACGCCATCGACTCCATATAATACTAGTTCTCTCTTATCACGTACGTGACTCAATCTACTTACGTGGTCATACTCACGATCGTCCTCTAAGTGAACGCGTTCGTTGGGAGCGTGTGTTAGAAGTGCATCTGTTTCGAACATTTGATTATTCGAACCAAAATTTACCTAAAATGGCACACTATGAAATAAATATATTATGTCCATAACGAAAACTATTTAATTAGTACTTTAAAAAAATGATCATTTTCTTTCGAAACCAGGATGACTTCTTAGCAACGTTAATTGTCCACCTTCTTTTCATTTAGACGCTTAGTGACACGTTATAATAATTATGTAACATTTCATAAGGCACTTATATTTCGTGATTCTTACTATACTTCAGAAGTGGAGACGTAATACGAGGCAATAGAAGTTCCTCGTTCTATACGTAAAAACCAAAGAAGGAAAAGTATTTTAATTCATCTATTAAGACAGATGCAGTTACTTGTAAGGGAGCAATGTTCTTGGAAGATTATGAGATTTATACTTCCACACATCGTGTGCAAACACAGTCATAGTAGTAACAACATCAGTTTCCTAGAAAGTAAAATGTTTGGAAAATCGTAAACGATCCGGATCAATTAATTCAATATAAAGTAAACATAACGGTAGTGATGAGTAGTCAAACTGTTCAAACAGTTCGAACAGTGTTCGATGATTATGACTCTTTTACAGAATTACATACAATTCAAACAACTGCTTCTATAGAAAATAGAAGTCTCCACATCAGTTCCTCAAAATACCACTTCTAGAACCACCCAACCATAAAATGGAAAAACAACTTATTTCGTCTCAGTTCAATAACTAAAATCTACTTCCAATTCGAAGTTCGTACTTTCAACACCGTCAAGTAACTCACAATTACCATGCCCATGAGAAGGGTCCTTGAGTATTTGCGTTTCCATCGGGTCCCATATGTCGATTGGTATTTATCTCGTACGCGGATCAATTTGCGCGAATGATTGCGCTTACGGTTACGATGCAAAGCAATGTGTATGTATGTATGTATATAGTATATATGTTCCACGTTGGGAACGGTAAAGCCGACGGGGGCGCAAACCTCGCGGCAATCTTGGGCTTCGGTCTTCCGAGCGAACCAGACTGCATCGTCGAGCGTCGATCGCTAATTCGAATTCGAATCACGCCTCCCGCTACGTACGTCTACGCAATGCGATTAACTTGTGTGTCCGTGGCCGGCTACGAGCTACGAGACGCTTGAGACACGGTGTTCGTATATTGTGAAGAGCTGTTTTGTTGTAGCAACCAGTGGAACATTTGAATCGCTAACTGCAAAAACGAGATATCTCTATTTTTTTAACGAATTCAATTTTTGGTAGGTTACCACATTTGTATACTGAATACTCCGATTATTGCAGAAAAGTGTCATATCTATATCTTATCTAGACAGTTAATGGCGTAAATAATTTTTGTTTACTAAAGAAACAGGACATGTCCACGAGATGTCTCCTAAAAATATTCGTCTCTTGAAAATTATAAAATTTTTACATTTCACAAAGTTACATTCACCCAACTGAATATTTCCTGGTTCATGTACTTTTACACGGTTTCTTGGAATCATAATGAGATGTATCACACATTCGCGGGATAAGTATCACGAGTTAAAAGATTTTTAATTTTCACTTTATCGCGTGAAATAATATCTTCTCATAAGTTCAATAGTTCAAGCTAGATGGCATTAGGCGTCACTTTATTTAATACACGAAATGCTATGTAATGAATCAGTTTCTATTCACTCTTCGGAAAAATTGTGTACCTACATACATGTTTTCGACTTGTTACACTTATCTCACAGCGGTGCGATGTTTCTTATAATATTGATATAATAAAAAAGATCATGTGAATGGTTAAAGGAAATGGGAAATAATACTTATTATCTATTTTTGATAGATTATTATCTATCAATTTCCCCAAAATTAAATATTTAATACAATTTCGTATTTCGATTTCAATTCAGACCTATTAAATTTATAGAGTTTTGTGTATTATTGCTAGCACCAAAAAATGGTTTTAGCCTCCGAAAAAACCCGCATTCAGCGAAATTTATCCCGAAATCTAGTTCACGTCAATCAGCGAACGCAGTCTTATTTTAAAACGCACGTTTCGCCGCGGCGAATGAATGGCGCCTGCATAAGTAAATAGCGGAATGAATGAGAAGAACGAATGCCAAGTGTGAAAACAAGAATGGAAGCGCACTCCTTACTTGAGCTCTAAGCTCTTCTTATGCGCGAAGTTTACGGCTCCTCTGTAATCCGAACAAACCGTGCATTATTCCCACGGCTCGG